TTTTGTATCATGTCATGAAGCAGCACATTTAATAGAATAAATATGACCAATGTTAGGTTAGAAATAAAAAAAATAGAAGTAACATGGTAAATTTAATTAAAATAATTGAGGATGAAATAAATAAAAAACTCTTGAAGAAAGCGCAAAAGAAAAGAGTAAAGAACATAAGTAATATCAAAAAGTTCAAATCAGAATAAAGGTAGAACATATTGCTAATATGGTAATTAATAGTTTAAAACAGAGTAATTTTAAGAATCTCTAGACTATCCTGATTTTTTTTTTCTGATCTCATTTATAGCAATGTATTGTTGAAAATGATTATTACTTTATTGAGCCACCTAATTTGGGTCTCTTGGCAGATTATTTAAATGATTGTGCTATACAAGATGTGAGCATGTCATTATCATTTAAAGATGATAACGTTGGTGCAGGCACTGCCAAAATTTCTCCAAAATGCGATGTGACTAACCATTCAGGAAATATATAGTATCTAACTCTGCTCTATCTGAATCTGATAGCAAATATATAATCGATGTTAATAATGATCCTTTAAATATACATAACGAGAGATTCTCTAATAAACTATATGCCACAAAAGTATATATCTTCTTTAATATTAACACTATGCAGTATTATCATGCCTAATGCTTTAATAAACTCGACATATTTTCGTTCAGAGTCTACCGTCTAGAAAATTACACAGTAAAATGAAAAAGAATGATATAATTCCAATGGATGTAAATTATGAAAATGATAATGACAACGACCAACATGATCATTTTACAATTCAGCGTGGTTCTTTCATTACCATAAAGCAACAGATGATAAAATAATGTTATGATAAATTATAATCATTTATATATTCACATGCTTATAAGATGTATATGATTGAAATCAGAAGAAAGATCATTTTTCTCCACCATATAATCAAGGTCCATCGTATAATAAGTTTAATGACTTTATTGACAAACCTCACTTACCAAGGGTTCATAAAAGAAGGGTCATGGGAACATCAGGCAAACCATTAAATAATGATTATTCGTATATTGATTTTTGCAAATATTGCATGAAATACTTAAATAACTTTTATATGTTTGTTATTCATATTATAAAATATAGTTCATCTCAGATTTAAGTGGTTCTGAGAAAGAACAAAAAATTGACAGTAGATTAAAGAATATAAACCCAAAAATGATGATTCAAAATGAGATCCTAGATTTATTTACATTTGTTATTTTGATACAAAATTTATTCTAAACTTTTTCTCAATAGATTTTGGATCGGACTCCCAACACTTCTTGGAAAGACATCACTAGATTAGAACATGCGAAAAAAACCATTCGGCAAACATTAGTTTAGGAAACTACTATGTAAATATAGCCCACTCTTAGACCCAGGTATCTGGAAACCCCTTGCATATTTTTATAATCTTTCATAATTGTGCATAATTATGCCTATTTTATGCACAATCATGCAATATTATGCAAGGTTGCCAGATACCTGGATCTAAGAGGGCTATAAGTGTTAGCAAATCGGCGGATTTTTAAAGAAACCTAAATTATATGGGGTATTAACAAATTGGTTGTTCACTAGACTTATCAATAATAGATTACACCATAATATGTATGATATGCATTAGCGTTAGATTAAATTTAGCTACGTACGTACGTACGTTTGAAAAAAAGTAATCAGTTAAGTTGGAGAGTGGGGTAATCAGTTGGACGTGTATTTTATATTAGATTTTTGATTTTGGGGGTACTTTGTAAGACAGACTAATCAGTTGACTATCACTATCGTTATATATGCAATAATCATTAAGGGATGTTACTGCTGATTTTAAGGACTGGCGAAAAGGTCAATTTACAAAATCAACCGATTTGGTTCCCTTAATGCTTTTAGAAAAGAAATGACTAGAATGATTAGACAACATTAACTTTTTTTTTTTACTAACGATATTTTCACAGGGTTGAGAGCAGTGTTGGAAATTATATGTTCACAATGTTTACAGTGAACATAAAGTTTTTAAAAAATCAAAATTTTTATATTCGCATAGTGTGAACATAAATTTTATTTCTTATTTATAATTTGTTAATATATGGGTTCACATTTAGATTAATATTGTTTATTTAATTATAAATATTCATTAAATATTACTTCTTTGCTTATTTACTTAATGCTATCGAGGAAAAAAACCTGTCACTGGTTTACAAAGTATTGCTTTTCCCCAGATATCAACCACGTATACATAAAAATTGTAGTGTATAAGCTTATGTTGTATGCCGGAATGGATTTGAATCAACATAGGTTGATTTCGAATTACAATAAAATTAAGTGGAGTGTATTGTTTTGTAATTTAAGATAAATTTTATTTATAACGCAGTGCATCACTAATTAATTAAAAGTAGTGCATAAATTTTTTTACATTTATGGTTACTACAAAGCAAATTCATTTTTTTATATTTACCATTATTTTTATTGCATGAACTTTTGCAATCACATTTAAGCATCGAAAGAATCCTATCCAATTCCGGAGATTTGTCAGAACCAAATGAACACAAGTTATCATAGAAATTGTCTGGATCGATTGCAGATCCACACGTGATTATTAACCAATCAACTCTTAAATTTTCATTCGTCACTTTACCATAATACAATACTAAAAACGAAAACTTTAAGAAAAAAATATATACGAATCGATAAAAATACTGATTACATACATATAAAGATAGGTAGACATACGTAAAGAGGAGTAAAAGTGGTGTTCAACTATTAAAACAACCAGAACTCACTAAATCTAAGAATCAAACTCGTATCTACGATCTAGGGTGGGGAATGGGCCAGCCTAACGGGCTTTTTTGGGGGACGTTTAAGGCCTGGCACCTTCCGATTTTTTCGGTTTTTAATTAAAATCGATTAATAGTAGGGTTAGGGTTAGATTTGGGATAGAGAAAAGTATTTATGTATAGTAAAATCGCATTTTCGACACTTTTACTTAGTGCATGAAGACCAGATAGCCGTTTTTTTATATTTTTCGTGTTTTTGTCTGTCGTTTCGCTTTGTTTGTTCGGGTTACATATCGAGTAATTTCGTAAGGTGCCAGGCTTTAAACGACCCCCAGAAATAAATTCATGATCATAAGAGTTTGTCGGATAAATATATATATATATATATTGCAATATTGAATTACGTATAATTGCTAAAAAAAAAAAAAAAAATTATCTACAA